CTAGAATCTGGGCTAAGACAAGAGCAAAGCCCTGCCCTCCACGGCAGCAGAGGAAGGGTCGGCCAAGGAAATGGCCAGGCACTGAAAACAAAGCAGAGCAGAAAACAGAGGCCCGGGACAGGAGGAAGCTGGAAACTGGGTCTGCAGAGATGTGCCGAGCCTCAGCGTACCTAGGGCCAGGCCCATTGCTGTTCCTCCAGCACAGACAAGGATGTGGTCTGTCACCCCTCTGACCTTAATCTCCGGCTCTCAGAAGAACCTCAAATTGGACTGGAAAAGTAAAATCCATGTATGTGCCACTCCTTGGGATGATCCTGAAACTCGGAAGGCTGGAGAAGTCCACACCGAGGACAGAAGGCACCCACTCAGAGAAAGCTGGCTTTGCCACACCAGTAAAGAGAGAACAGGCCTCACTGCAAATTTTTTTAAAAGAGCTTCACTATACTAGAAAAAAGAAAGAGGAAAAAGAGAAAGTAAAATTCTGCTACTGATTTTTATAATTTTATAAGACTCAGAACATGATACCAAATGCAGACGAACACAGACAGAAGGGTAAATTATAAGACACTCTCAAACATATCAATTTTTAAATTCTGCAAAATAACATTAGCAGCGCAAATCCACCAGTGTTCGAAGAGATGATCACTCGATCCATCTTGGGAATGCAAGCATGGCCTAATATTTGAAAATCTATTATTGCAATTTGCCATATTAGCATCAAAAGGAAGAAACCCACATGACCTCAGTGAATGCAAAATAATCAAAAGAAGAGCTAAAGTGAAACACCATTCACTGAGACGAGTATTAACAAACAAAAGGGAGCTTCCTTAGCCTTAACCAGACATCTGGGTATTTTTTTAGAAGAAAATTTAATTTTTTTCTTTTTCTTTTTTTGATACCAGGGATCAAACTCATGACTACGTGCTTACAAGGCAGGTGCTTATGCTGCTCAGCTAAATCCCCGGCCATGAAGCTGGGTATTAAAAGCCACAAATGAACTGTACTTTTAGATATCACAAGAACTTACAATTTTTAAAAGGCACTATTTATCATAGCAACAAAATTACATAAGCTTCAAAGGCATAATTATAACTAAGCAATATATCTAATTAAAGATGTTTTTGTAGGAAATTATATAAATATGCCAAAAGGCAGCAGAGAAAACTGAAACGGAGACAGATAGCATCTTTATAGACAGAAAAGCCCCACATCCTAAAGACATGAATCCTCCAGATTCACCCACAGATTACAATGCAAGCGCTTCAGAGGTTACAGATGGCTGTCACATGGGTAAGACCACACAGCAGGTCACGGCACAGCTCAGGTAAGGCACGGGGGCCTGACCTGCAGCAGGGCAGCTCACTGGCCAGTCAGCACAAGAAGTCAGCTACTAGCGAGGGACAGGGCTACAACAGTGTGGGCAGGCAGCCTTACGCACACAGCTCAGCTCAGCCAGAGACCACACACTTGGGATGCAGGGACAGCATGGGGTAGTGACCACTGCTGCTCACCACAGCTCCCTGTGCTTCATTCTAATTAGGCAGCGAGACCCTGAGGGGCCGATGGGGCGTGGTCAGCGCAGCCCTGTGCTGTCTCTGGAGGCCCTGCAGGAGCATGGGCTGTCCACCTCGACCTGTCATGGCCAGGGACCTGGCCACTTGGACACAAAGGGCCTTGGACAAGAAGCCCACTCTTGTGACCTCTCAGGACACCGCCCACCAGGGGTTTTCTCTCTTCTTATGCTTCCTGGGAAGGCTCCTCAGAACCATTCTTCGCCTTGATTCCATTCCTCAAAGCAGCCCAGTCTGGACAGTCATGCTGCCAGACGCACAAACACACTACCCAGCACTAGCGCACTTTTTGGTAAGCTCACGTATATAGTACCCGACACTTATGTGTGTGTGGGGCTGGAGCATGTACATGACACCCCCTAAGCCTTTCTTCACCCTCTCACCCTCCTCTCCACCTTCTGGTCCTGTCTCCTCTGATCTGTCTTCCTACTTCCTTTGTTTTGCTCTTCTTTATATTTTAGGCTTCTTGTGTAAGGGAAACCATGCCACATTTAAGTGTCTGATGAACCTCACTTAGCACTAAGGTCTCGTGGTGCATCCATTTTCCTACAAATAACTCATTCTTGATAACCCTTTTGCCTGAGTAGTTCTCCGCCATGTGGGAACACGCTTTCTTCTTCCCTCCATCTGCTGATGGGCCTTATACAGGCTGCTTCTCAGATGCAGCTATGATGAACGAGGCTGCTGTGGACATGGCTTCGCATGGGTCACTGTACAGTGATGCCTTTAACTCTGGGTACCTAGCAGGGGACTCAATGGGTCAAACAGAACTCCACGTGTTGGCTTTCTGAGGACTCTGCAAGCTGCCTCCACAGTCGCTGTACTAGCTCACATCCCCACCAACAACGCAGAAGGGCTCTTTCCCACAGCCTCTCTGGCATTTGTTACTTGATTTCTTCACGATGATTACTCCTACTGGGGTGGGATGGAACCTCAGTGTTATTTCAATTTCTATTTCTCTAACCATCAGCAACGTTGACAGCACATCTGCAAAGTAGACTAAGGCCACTGACAACGGGAAAAAACAGAGGGCAGAGGAACAGAGCCTCAAGCACAAGAACACACAATCCACAAGAGCAGGATGCTGCTGACCAGAAAAGAGAACGAACCTGGTGCTAGAAAACTGGTTGCCCAGGCAGGAAAACTTCCTATCCCCCTGATTCTAGTCACAAAAATTAAACCCAAGAAACTTAAGTGGTGGGGGACAGAAAATCTTTCTTACCTCAGAGTAGCAACACATCTATTATTTAAGAAACAAACGGAGAAAAATGATTACACACGTTCTAATCACTGCAAGACACAGAAGGATAGCCAATAAGCCCTCGGCGGGGGAGGGAAGAGTCCACATCAAACCCACACCAACACACGGGACACGGAGGGGCAGCCCGGCGGGAGAGCCAGCAGGAGGTGAGGAGGAGCCCCAGGCCCGCGCAGTCAGGGGAGTGTGGGTCAGAGCCGCGCTGACACAGGACCACAGCACGCTGCCAGCCTGCCAGCCACCAGGCCGGCCAGTCTGAGCCACCTCAGGAGACACGCAGCACTGCTGATGACGTGCCAGATGAGTGTGTATGTGCGTGTGTTAGCACATTCATGCAACAGGGTATTGAAGAGTTAAAACGAATAAACCACAGCTATGCCCACGCTGGGTAAATCTTTAAAACCTCACTAGGTGATGGGAAACCAAGCCCACGCAACAGGCTGGCCCCGCGAGAGCACGGTGGCTTCACTCTGACAAGTCCCACCTCGCTAGGGCCCAGACCACACAGAGGCTGGTCGGGTGCCTGGCTGTCCCTTCCCGTACTCCTGTCCCCCACCCCTAAACCCCACCTCCTCAGAGTTGCCCAGGTCAGCCAAGGTCCTGCCTTCTGCTCCCGCATGTCCTGGCCAGAAGAGTAACCTGAACAGAGACCCGAATCTTACAGAATGTAGTCCAACTGCTGACCCAGGCTCAAATCACACCTGACCCAGATTTAACTCAATCATTTACAGGTAGCACGTGAAACTGTGTAAGGTTCTGCCAGTTCTGGTCTGACAGTTCCATCACGCACATTCAAGTCACTCTCTGGTTCTCACTCTGCCCTGTGGCTTCCGAGGAACAAGGCAAGGTGGCTATAAAACTGCCACTTTCACACAACAGTGAAGGCCACAGCTCCCTGCCGGACCTGCCTTGGTCCTGTGCTGCCCGCAGTGTCTGTCCGTAGGCACAGGCTCAACTGTCCTTTAGGAGTCTGGTACTGGCCAATCAGTCTCATGGAGACACTGCCATAGGCTGAGCTGCGCCCCTTAAAATCTGCATGTGGGATCCCAGCCCCAGAGCCTCAGGCTGTGGCTGTATTTGGAGACAGAAATACAAAGAAATCAAAGGAATTCAGTGAGTTACCAGGCTGTGGCAGGCATCTAAGGAGAAGGGGATGCAGACACACCCAGAGGGATGCCAGGGAGGACACAGGCAGGAGATGCTGCTTGCACAGCACAGAGTGAGGGGCCAGCCCTGACCACAGGCCAGACCCCATACTGACCCCGGGCCCTGGGCACCAGACCTAGGAGAATAATGACAGACACCAGCACCCTCAGGGGCACCTGCTGCAGCTGCCCAGGCAGATACAGAAGCCATCGCACACACTGCGTCTAGCACTCCTTGGCCCGCGGCAACCTCTTGGGTTGGGAGCTCTTGGGCTCTTTCCATGCCCACCGGCTCCTCAGTCAGCTCAGCCAGACTGCACAGGAAGTGGGGGACAGGGGCACATGCAGAACAGTCACTTAAGTGACCCTCTCTAAGTGACCCTCGAATCATCAGCATAGTAAGTCCCTGGGGCACTCGGAGACTAGCTGCAGGCAGAGGTGGTAGGGGTAAGAAAAAAACTCAGGGTGGGCACACCTCACAAGCCTCCTCTATGGTGAGGTCACCAGGGGTCCCGCCTGCCCTGTTCATGCCATAGGAGGTGCTCCTCTTGCCCTCTGTTCGAGTCCCCTGGAGTTCCTGTCTTCCATGCTTCACCCTTGGGCTCAAGCATAGGAGTAAAAGCATGAGCTGGGTTCAGAGCTCCTGTCCGACACTGCCGGCAGAAGCAGCAGACCCAGGAGTGGGGCACAACAGTGGCCCTGGTGGCATCCAGATCTCTACCGTGGCCACCTCCTCTTCCAACCAAAAGTGAAAGCAAGTTGCTCTCAGGGCTGCAAGAACCTTCCACCTCAGATGCAAGGATGCAAGGACTGTGCCAGGAATAACAACTCCCAGGGCCACAGATGTGAAGGTCTCCAGCCACGACAGCCAGGGAGGCAGCAGCAGGGCCCTCAGGCACCCAGAAGTCTGCCTAGGCCAGGAGAATTACAAGGGTCAGAGTCAGCCCCAGGGGACAGGTGAGACCCAGGACTGGAGGCTGTGCAGGGTGGAGCAGACAGCCTTCCAACAGGTGGGGAGGGGGTTACCTTTTTGTCCTCCTTGGTCCTCCTGACATTTCGAGAAGGCCCAAAGAGGTTCTGCATTCCAAAAGCCTTCCTGGCCCAGTCCCGCTTCTGGGCACTCAGCGGGGCCTGCATGAAGCTCCCCTCCACTCGGTAGCGGTCCGCGGGGATCTTGCTCATGGGGGGCGGCAGCGTGCCACAGTTGACACTGGACCAGCCATCTGTGGAGTCCGTGTAGGACTCCTGGTCACTGGCATGGCCACACTGCCACTCCTGGAGTACGTGTACAGGAAGCCACCTCTGGCTGAGACCACAGCTGGTGCTGGCAGAGCCCCTCTTGGAAGGAGGGACGGAACTCCACAGCGAGGCAGGGGTGCCCTCAGTGTGCGAGGCTGGCCCCAGGTGCTTGCTCAAGTCCCGCAGCCTGTCTGCCTGTGGACCGGCCTCAAACGAGGCACACCCCTCAGGGCTGTGGCAGAAGGACCTGCTCCAGGATGCAGCCCAGGACTGCGAGCTCCTGGCACCTGCGCCCTCCCAGCTGGCGCTGCTGCCTGGGCCGTGCCTGCTCAGGCCCCCGCCCAGGTCAACCACAAGCACCCGGTTGCTCTTTTCCTCCTGGTTGAAGTTCCCGATGCCGCTGTCGCTGTTGCTGCTGGTGCTGTTGTTCTGGTGGGCGTCGGCATCGCCGTCCAGGAAGGCACGGGCCCGCACGCCCTCGATGAACTCGCCCATGTCCCGGTACAGTATGGAGATGAATTGCAGCACTGGCAGTGAGGATGCTGGGAACTCCAAACAGCCGCTGGTGTCAGGGTCTGCCGTGCACATGAACCCAAAGCGCCGTGCGATGCCCTGGTGGATCTTGTGGTGGAACAGGTCAGGGTCCACCATGAACACATGGCAGGATGTCCTCAGGGCACCCTCCTCGCCCTGGGCCAGGCTCCCATCATCGTTTGTCTGCATAGTCACCAACCCGAAGAACCGCCTGTCATCAGGGCACACAGCACTGAACGCCAGCTTCTCGGCCGGGTACTCAGCCACCACACAGGCCTTGTCAGAGCACAGCAGCACGCGGTCATGCATGACCTTCATGGTGACCAGTGAGTGGATCTTCTGCTCGGCCCGAAGACGCCTCATGCATCCACGGATGGCCTGCAGGCTGTCAGATTCCAGGTTGCAGCTGGTAGAGGGCAGCTCGATGGAACCCAGGTAGCCCACGACCATAGCCACATTCAGGATACTCGCATCCAGTGCGAAGCTGTCCAGGTTCTCCGGGCCGGCGCTGAAAACAGAGTCATCATGGATCACTCGCACTAACTCCTCCTTAGAGAGTAGGCCGGTTTGCACAGCATTGGGACTGCCTTCCAGACGCACGGAGGCTGACTCTGACAGGGATCTCTGCTTCCCCTGGGAGGGCTCTGGGGTACTCATGCAAAGACTTGGGTTTTCAAAAATCATGCTGAAAATGCCCCCTGACTGCATCTCTTCCACAACCCTCTCCGCCCTGTTAATCCCCAGGGCCTTGGAGTCCAGCTTGGGCCTCAGCCAGCCCTTGCCCTCGCAGAGCCCGCCCTCGTCATCACTGGAGCAGGCCTCGGGGTGACCGGCACCCTCGCCGATGACCAGGCGCAGCACGCCAGAGCACTTCCCGATGAGCTTCACCACATCCTCGTGCGAGGCCTTCTTCACATTGATCTCATTGATGGTGAAGATCTGGTCCCCGGCGCGGAGGCCAACGAAATCTGCAGGGCTGCCCCGAATGACTCCGCTGAGCACGCAGGGTGCCTGCCCTGCGAGTGTGAAGCCGTAGCCAGCGCGGCCTCGGGCCACCTCCACGCTCCGCAAGCGCGGGGGCACAGGCCCCAGGGGTGGCCTCTTCACTGGCTCCCCTGCCCTGTACATCATGGGGAGCAGCCAGGCCCAGGAACATGCCCGGTTACTCGGGGGGACCCAGGGCACCAGGAACACTTGACGCTGCCATGTGCTCTGCCGCAGTAATGCCCTGCAGAGGAAAAGTACACAGCTCATTACTAACAATCCTGAATTTCTGCCACTAACCAGACATAAAGAAATAACCCAAAGCCAGGTGAGGTGGTGCACACCTGTAGCTCTAGCTACTAGGGACCCTGCAGCAGGAGGCTTGCAAGTTCAAGGCCACCCTGGACAACTTAAAGAGATTGTATCTCAAAATGAAAATTTTAAAAATACCTGGGGATGTAACCCAGTGGTAGAACACTTGTCTAACACAGATGCATGTGCATACACGATAACTCATACTAAAAAAACACCAAAGACCAAGTGTGGTGACACAGAACTCTGGGAGGCTGAAGCAGAAGGATGGCAAATATGAATCCCATCTGGACAACCTAGTGACTACCATCTCAAAATAAAAAATGAAAAGGGGCTGGGATGTAGCTCAGTATGAAGGCCTCGGGCTTAATTCCCAGTACTGCATTAAAAAAGAAAGAAAGAAGACAGGCCCCCACAACAAAAGTACCCTGTTACCTTGTGCTGTCAAGATGGAGATGCAGGCTGCACACTGGAATCTTAAGGCTGAGCTAAGGACCCGCCACCAAGGTGGAAGTAAAGGTGGGCGGCCCACAGAGCTAAGTGCCGGGCTATGCCTACAGGGCTCAGACATGGTACCTGGTTTCAGCAGCTTGAATGAAAGAGAAGCCTTGGCAGGCAGAGTCCCTTGAGCCCCAAAGGTTCCCATTCACCTTTACCTGACCGCAGACTGACTCTTTATGGAGTATTTTTCCTTGGAAGGGGTCACCTCATGTTCTCTCAAGCCCTTACTCCCTAACAATTAATTTATTTTTAACAAAGAGCCATGTGGAAAAAAATGTGTTAGTCTGAAACAATTTCAGTCAATAAACTTCAGTGGTCAGCCAAAAGAAGAGACAAAAACAACCAGAAAAGCAAACAAATACAACCCTTGTTTAATTATTCCCAGAGGCATGACCTTAAAATTTACAGCACTGTTATCACTGGAAGTAGACCTGCCCCAGGGTCCCCAAGGCCACGGGGGCCAGGGACCAACCAGGGGACAAGGCCCACACAGGGCTAAGATGGATAGAGACAAAATCCCACAGGAGAAGGCACCAGGGCAGAGTACAGGGGAGCACCAGGGTCCCCTGCAGGGCTCACTCAGGATGCACATAATCCCCCACAAGGAGCCCAGGGGTACTAGGGGCCCAGGGTTTTCATGGGAGGTGCTTCTGCAGCACCCTCTACCCCGCAGGCACTATGACTCCAGACTCCCATAGAGAAGCAGGGCTCAAGGTCAGCACAGCGGCACAGGGCCCAAAGTGGGTACCCTCCAGCCTCCAGGTTCCCAATCCCACCTGGTTGTGAGAACTCTGCTGCCGCATCTGGAGGCAGCGTAAACAACGATCCAGTTTGCAGCTCAGAGAGCAGGGTAGCAGATGCCACATCTCACAAGCTGCTCCTGAGTCACCGCTGTCAGAGCAGCCCTGTCCTGGATAGAGTTCCCAGTAACAGAACCCTAAATAGATTCTGTCTGCAGAAACAGAAGCCGAGAGAGGAGCGGTGGGATGCACAGTGGGGCGAACCCAGAGTCGCCCCACTGACTTAGTCTCAGGAAAATGTTTTGATTTGTGTCTTGGTGACCCTCTAGAGGCTGAGACAAAAAACCCAGTGCCCACAGCTTAAAGCAGAGGGTGCTTATTTTGGCTCACAATTTGAGAAGCTTCAGCCTATGCTCCTCAGGCTCAAACACAGAACACGAGAGAGGGGTTTTTTTTTGGTTTTTGTACTAAGGATGGAACTCATGATCTCACAGTTGCAGGACAGCACTTACAGTACTGCACTAAATCCCAAGGACCTTGGAGGAGGAGAAAAAGGGGCATGAGGTGGGAGATGATCTCCTCTTGGTGTTTTACTTGGAGGGGAGGAGCTTTCCAAGCCCTGCTCCCAGCCTTCCCAACAGGCCCCTCCCCCGCCAACAGCAGTGGGCTTTGCTCTGGGAACCCTCACCTCCCAAAGCCCTGCCTACCAGGCCAGGCCTAATGGTGAACCTGACCCCTTCACCTCCTGGGCCCAAAAGGCTCATAGCATCTGTGATGCAAAGTGCGGTCAGTCCACGCTGAAGAGTCACTGAGTCTCAACATCTCCAGCACTGCTGAAAATTCCAAGTCCACAGTTACAGGTAAACACTCCCAGTCCAAAAGAGACAGAAGGGAATGGAAAGGAGTGGGCAGACTTGCCATTTGCAGCATCCGTCCCCAGGCAGTGAGACAGGGGCCAAACACAAAGGGGCCCATCGGACTTGGCACCTACGTCTCCAGTCTCCCTGCAGCCCGGCCTGGTCAGCACCGGTGTTGGCAAGCTCTCCTTCCAGCCAGGCTGCTGCCAAAGACCCTACCGCCTCCACTTGCCACTCGACAGGGTATCCCGGCCAGCACCAGGGCACCTCCCCTGCGCACTGGGTCAGTGCCCCACATAGATTCTAGCCTGTGGCCCCTACATCACCCCTGCTGCCATCTCCCACAGCTCTACACCATGCTCAGCCCTGGGCCCACCTCCTGAAACCCCGGGCTCTCTCATCACCTGACTCACCCCACAGGAGACCTAGACCTGGCCTCCTGGGCACAGGGGGACACGGTGCCAGCAGGGCTGCCCAGGAAGATTCCCAAATCACCAGGGGCCACTTCTGGGCCTTGTGACAGCCACCAGTCATCACAGCGTCTGTGGAACTCAGTCCTAGCTCCCTTCCTGGAAACAGCCTTTCCTGAGAAACCCACTCAGCCTACAGGACCCTAAGACAGCACCCGCCCACTCCGACTCCCACACCTGGTGGCCATGGTGATCACATAAGGACAAAGCCGACTGGGCAGGCCCCGCCCTACCTCTTCGGGCCCTCTCCTTGGCAAGGGCCTTTCTCTGCCTCCCCTCTGCCATTCTTCCAGGCCCAGAGGGGTGGCACTTGTGGCTGGAGGACTCTCCAGGCCGGCTATGCCTCGAATGTCACTGACTCTACCTAAACTCATGCTTTGACTTCACTCTGCACAGGGCTGGTATGATAGGGAGGTGTAAGAGGTGGGAGGTGACAGGCAGTCCCAAGAGCAGGGCATCAGGTGTCCTGCGTCTGTTCTCCACCATGTGCTAAACACACCTCTACCCCTCACAGGACCCGGCTCAGGAAAGGGCTAGGACAGGGTTCTGCAGCGTGCACCCACGAGGGGCTGGAAACCAAGGGCTTGGTATCAGAACCCAATCACCCTCAAGGGTCCCACAAAGGCCATGTGCTGAGGGCCTGGTCCCCAGTCATGCAACAATGCCAATGATCACAGACTGAAGCCCCCAAACCAGGATAGAGAGAAACCCGCTTCCTGTGAGCTGTCTCGGGTATTTTGTCACAGTGAGGAACAGCATGCTTTCCAGTGTTCTGAAAAGTGTGGACCACTTGTGTAGTCAAGGAAAGGAGTGACAGAGGCGTTTTTACACGTTTCTACACGTTACCGTTATGAGTAACATGTCTCACTCTTAGTTGTGCAAAACAGGACAAGGTCTCCCCCTTCACATCCGTGGCTTCCCACTCAGACCACGCAGTGGGGGGGGGGGCTGTGCTGTGCACGCGCTGTGGCCAGGTGTGGCTCCCCCTATGCCGTCCTCATCCTGGAGAGCTAGAGGGGAGGAGGGAACGCAGGTAACGGTGACCGCATTCCGCACACTCAGGAGAATGAAGGAACAGGAAGGGGACACCTAACAACAACAGGGAGAAAACCACTGTGCCAACCTCCAGAGGCCTACATGGGACCTGGGGCCCCACTCTCATCTGCTCCTGACCCACCACCTAGCTTCACCTAGCTCCACCCAGCCCTCTCACTAGCAAGGACAGTCAGGGACCACAGGTTCCCCTGCCACATCCCCACAGTGCTCCCCACCCAAGGAGCATGGGCTGCATCACCTGCACTGGCCGCCCTAAGCAGCCCTGCATGTAGACACCTGGCTCGCTGTGCACCCAGCCCAGAAATCCCTCCACTGGAGAAGAAGGGGACACTCCCCAGCATCTGCAGAGGCCAGGGTCCAAGGGACAGTGTGTCTAGGTGGCAGGAAGCCCTGTGTCACAGGAGCCCAGAGAGCACAGGTACCTGTGTCCCTAGGCCCCATAGAGCTCCCTACATCTGTCCCCTCCTCTAAACATGTCATCGCCATCTGAAACTGCCCCGTTGGCCCTTAGATTCCTCACCCTTCACTTGGTGTAGGACTACTTGGGTCCCTCTTGGCCACAGCTGCACCCCAGGTGTGGGGGAGCAACTGTTTCCAGAAGCTGTGGCCACGCACGCTGCCCCCGCCAGCTGACCCAGAGGCTAACTCTGCACCTGGAGTGAATGGGGTACCAAACAGGCCTGTATGCAGAGGGACTAGTGCAGGACAGTGAGAGGTGCCACCTAGATGCCCTATGACCCGATCAGGCTCCTCCCTCAGGGCCCTGTGAGTCATATCTAACAGAACCAAGTCATGGGAGTGGCACACTGCTCCAAGACGAGGTTATAAAGAAACTGTGGCTTCTGTCGTGCTCCTGTCTCTCTCCCTCCCTCGGCTGGGTTTCGAGCTGCCCCAACCACATGTCCAAGGAGACAGGGACCAGGTCCTGGCCAGCAGCCAGCAAGACACAGTCTTCCAATCACAGTGTAACCTGGGACATGGAGCTTCTGGGGCCACCAACTACCATGACAGTGAGCTTGTAAAGCAGCTGCTCCCCGGGCAGCTCTGATGGACCCCTGGACCCCAGGCATGGGAGGCTCTGGTCAAGGGACCTGGCAGGACCCACAGGACTCTTGACCACTGACACCAAGCAGTGCTCTGAGCCACATCCACGTTTAGTCTGTTTTGCAGCAGTGCCAAAGAGGTCACATGATGAAACAGCTCAGAGGTCACATGATGTGGACCTCAAATGCTAGACCACAATGCAAGACCACTCCTGCTACTGACAGACAAAATTGCACCGCAGTCACCTCTGGGACAGGGCGTGGT